TTCAGAATCGTTTATAATATTTGCCTTCTCGGTGGCGGACGAGATCTCATCAACGATAATGGTAGCAACGACGATAACGGCGCGACGAATTCACCAGCAACTACGACGAGAACGTTGGTAGCGGCGGCGCGACGACAATGCCCTACGCGTCTTGTCATTTGCAATGTTCTGCTGCTGCCTCGGCACGCACGTCACGTGATCGTCCGTCCCGGCTGGTCATTGGTGCAATGTTAGCCCGTGGAGCGTCGTACTACGCTCACCCGTGGGGGCCGCGTTCCATTCACTACCACCGTAGCACCGTACCTAGCGTCCTATCGTTTTCTCACTCTCTCGTTCTTTAATTTTCTCTCTCGTCTTCGCGCTTGTGCAGTGGCCCTCAAATTCGCCCTTTCTCGATTCCTTTGATGTCCCGTCGAAAATGTTATTTAACGGTTGTTTTTGATATTCGTGAATTATTAGTTTTCTTACAAACGTCACTTAGCTATTAATTTTATATTGAAGGTTATACGAATCATTTTAAACACATTTTTTAGCACAAAATCACATCTCAATCGAAAGGATGTTTTGGTGTTCGTGTACGACGTGCGCAACTCTGCTTATATACACCTGCACGACACACGTATAGACCAGTATGTAGCGTCTTACGTTTCACGTTATGTACGTAATGGAGGAGTACAAGCCGATGAATAGCGTGTGTGAATAACTTTCGTGTACGGAGCACATACTAGCACAAGCGTAGTATCCGAGCTTACGTTTTTCAGCTACGGCGCGTGCACGCTACATTCATTCGATACTCTCGCTAGGAAAAATCTCGAGATAATCGTTTCAATTTACTACTATCGAACTGATATTTACGCGCGAGATTGATTTCGATATTATTGATAATTCTAAATTTTTATAATTTCTTTAATTAAAATTAATTAAATAATAATAATTAAAATTATTATTTCAATTACTTGTATTATATTTATTATTTAAAATTATTGAAAAAATCAAAATTTTGTGTTTATTTTAAATGATTTGTATTTTTTTATAAATATTAACAAAGCTATTCTTAATATTTAATAATTCAGGATAATAACATTTATTTTTTATAAATTAAGTTCATATATTTATTTACAATATTGTACATTATACTATGTTTTTTTATTACATATTTTTTTTAAGTTATTATTGATAACATATGACTAGATTAAATAATATCAAATTTAAAATATTGAAAAATCAGTCAAAACTTTTAATGTGTTAGTAAATATATATATAAAGTTAATATTTTGATAAAATATAAAATTTTTGTTTTAATTATGAAATATGAAAATAAAGCTAAAGCAAATCCTAAAAGCATTGATTTATGTATGACATGTGTTATTTATATGTAAAAAAACTATAAAATAATGATATGTAATTTAAAAAATATAAAATTATAATATTAAAAGCATATTAAGTCACTTGTCATATGTTGTCAGCATAAAAATATTAAAATTAAGGACACAACTTTATATTATATTATATTGCATGGAAATTTGTTTAATAAAGGCACTGCCATGCTTCTTACTAAAAACTAATGACATAATATACTTATAATTAATTATACTTTTATATATGCATATATATACATAATATAAGTATGTATATGCACACAATATTTGTAAATAATGCTAAATTATTTTGCAAAATAATTTACAGGAAATGCTGTATATCAATTCCAAAAATAATTATTTAAAATTATAGTATTTTACAATTTTTAGAGAATTTTTCTATTATTCTAGTAACATACTTATAAAGAGTAATACTAGTAATACTTATAAAGACAAAAAATTAACATACATATAATTATTTAAATAATAATAAAAGAGTAAAAATACATTTGTATATGTATTAATTGTTGAATATTATATATCTTTTCTTAGCATTATTAATAAATGAAATTATATTTATTAATAAATGAAAAATATAAATATAATGACTAAATTCATAAATTTAAAATAATGAAATATTATATATAATATATATAATATAACAATATTATTCTTATTTATAGGAGTTTGTTTCTTAATTATTAGAAACAATTGAACACAATACTGACATATGTTTTAATTTGTATGTCAGTCCATTTAAATTTACATTTATTAATTATCAATACTAAAAAAAAACTGTCTTTTTTTAATAAACATTTTTTTTCTAAACTAATTTCTAATATAAAGATAATGTATAAATGCTGAGATAAAAATAAATTTTAAGCTTTAACAATTTTAATAAGTAAAGAAAACTAAGATTAGCTAAACTCTTTTTTTATTTTTTCTATCACAATAATCAGTTTTAGTGTAAGTTTATTGAAAATTCAAAGTTTGAATTTTTTATCTAAATTTCTTTAATAATCATTTACAAATAAAAAAAATTGTGGCATGATATAATAAATAAATTTATGCATAAATTATACATTGATATTTATCATTATAAAAATGACATTCTTTAAAAATATTTAAAATATTATAATATTATTTGCAATGTAATAATTATAATAATTTATACATAAATATATGTATTTATTTATATTTATATATATTTATGTATAAATGATATATGCATAATTTTATATATTATACAAAATTCATTTAAATTTAAATTCATACAAATAAATTATTTTAATTTGTAATAATACTGGAAAAATATTAGCACACAATATTAAGTTATTTTTATTTACTTATTATAATATGTATTATTTATAATATACTAATCAATTTTTAATGATTAATAAAAAAAAACAATCTAACTTCTAAATCAAAAAATTTAATGAGTATATTATGACAAATGCTTTGAATGATAATCAAAAATAAGTTAATATTCATAAGAAATAATTTTTGTAAAATAAATGAGTTAAATATTGAGATGAACATGAAATATAAATAAAATTTAAAGAATTACTTATTTTTTATCATCATTTTTTCACAAAGAAGATTTTAAGATTTTCATACAAAGCACTTTATGTATAAAGCACTATGTATATATATATATATTTTTTATTAATTTAAAATTAAACTATGTTCTTTATTATAAAAAATATTATTGATCATTGATTTAATGAAAATGATACAAATATATTTTTTAATATAAAAAAAAAATAACTTAAGATATATTTAATCGAAACATTCTTTTTTAAATTTTTGTTGAAAATAAATATAATTTTTATTATATAATTTAATTTTATAGTGAGTGTTTTATTTTTATTTTTTTCTCTTTCTTTCATTTATGATAAATATAAACAACAATTATAATTATATTAAATTTTTTACTAATTGTGAAGTTGATTTCTCAATGATATTCTTTACAAAATATTGATGACATGAATAAATGTAAATGATTTTTTTTTTTTTAAATAGATTTAAATATAAAAAAGAAATTTATCTATTAAAAAATTTCTAAAAGTATTCTATATATTAGAATTTGTAAATAAATGGAACTTTTTCGTTTAACATTTAAATTATTTTCTCATAAATTCCTTATATAGATATTATTATATATATGAATTTCAAGAATTTATTACTACATTTATACAATACGTTTTTTTGAAATATATGGAACTCTGATGACAATTGTCATGAATTTGAATTATGGCAGTGAAAAATATCTGTTACATATATATATTCCAAAATTATTCCAAAAAAATAAAAAAAAATCACTTTCATTATTATTCAATTAAAAAAATTAAATTAACAGATACAATGATACAAAATTTAAAAAATTATATTATATTAATTAAATCTGTTTTATTTTTTTAAAAGAACAAATTATGTAAAATTTAAAATAAATAAATAAAAATTTTTGTTTTATATATAAACGTTACATACATATATATATTTACACGCAATCTATATTAAATATCACCAATTTTTCTTTCTAAATCAAAATAAAGAAATTATTTTGATTTATCCAAATCAATAACTTCAAAAAATGATACACAAAAAATGCAATAAAAATTAAAATTATACATAAAATCGTAACAAAAGTCTTATAGAAGTAAATAATTTAAATTATATTAAATGCATATTTGGTATATAACTGCAATGTATGAATGATTTTTATGAATATATGATAAATTTGATTTCAAATCAAATTGTTTTTACCAGTATCTATATTTTTTTATACAATCATTTCCCAAGTCTACAACTACTAAATGATTATCAGGTAGTACTGCAATACCTGAAGGACGTCGTAGTTTTGAACTATGTGAATCAATTTCAGTTAAAATATTACCTCCTCCTAACTTTAAAACTTGGATTATACTGCGACCTTTATCGGTACGAGTACCAAGTATTCTGCCTTCTGTATCAACAGCAAGGCCTCCATAAGTACCTTTTCCTATAATATATGAAATAATAAATATAACACTTAATATAATAATATAATAATAATGAAAATACGAATTACCTTTGCCTTCTAAATAAATTTCTTCAGAAAAATCTCCTTTAGCAGAAAATACTTGTATACGACTATCAGCCACTATTATTTCACCATTGGGTCCAACAGTTACAGACGTAATTAATTTAAATGTACTTCTTTTTCCAACCTATTAATTAATTTTTAAGATATATATATATATATATATATATATACATATGATAAAAGAGAAAAATAATAATTAATTATAAATTTAAAGAACCTAAATATTATCCAACCTGAAAGAGAATTTTGCCATCAGAATCAAATACAAAAACACAACTTTGACCATTGTCTGCAACAAGTATATGGCCATAACTCCTATCAACTGCAACATCAATTGGTTCCTATAAAATAAATAAAAAAAATAA